CTGTAACTGCAAAGGGACAAACTGAGATTTGTGGTGTAGTTGTCCAAAGGAGGTGCAGGAAAGCGTGTGCACACAAATCTTAAAAAAATCTTAAAATGTTAAGGTTTGGAATTAGCCCATTTAAAATGCCCTCATTAGAGCACTCTCTAATTCCCTAACTAATACATATGTCTACACATGTTAAGCTGCAACAGTCACTGGTTTAAAGCACACAAGGGCACAAGGGCCTTGCAAACTAGGGAAAGACAAGCTAATGGTTACTCACAGGGTGTTCTTTTTAATTTTTTTTTTCTATAGTTTAGAAATGTATGAGAAGATACAGTTCTAAGCAGGCATCAAAGGAGCCCGCTGATCTCAGAAGAGTTAGATGACATATCAACTGTGTGTCATTTAGCCTTCAACATGGATCATCAAATATAGTTAAGATCTCATATTCTACCTGGCATACAAAATTTAACATATGCAACACAAACCTCCTCAGAACTGCCTTCCCCTTTAATCTGCTCAGCCAGATGCGATCTATACAAGATACTTCTTTATTCTGAAACGATTCTTACAATAATTACTAACCAACTAATACAATAATAAGAGAAAAGTCTGTCTTTACTCGTTTTCTTTTCAAACCCTGTAACTAAACCACATTTATTCAGGGCTATGCCTCTATGATTCATGTAATAACGACTGAACAAAATGGACTTGCTCTTTTTTGCCACCAAAGAAAGCATGTTAAATCTGTTCTGTTTTTCAATACATGGGAAGTATAGGGCTTGGATGGGAATGTGGGGTGCATGGCTTTCCCCACCCTTAAGCAAGAACTGAGGGTAACTTCAAATCTAATTAATCGGGAGAGGTTGGCTATCTCAGTCTCCACTCCAGAAGACTGGCAGAACAACTGGCTCCCCGCATTCTTTTCTAACCCAAATTTCTGGTAAAATGTTCGCAGTGAAACAGTCAACGTTGCTGATATGTAAATGACCATCATTAATCTTCGGAGCTCACGTCAGCCCTAGCTAACGAGAGCAGTTTCCTGGGGTGGCAGGGACAGGTGGGTGCACCTCGATGCCCCACATCGCTCCGGCCCTTCCGTACGTCCCGCACCTTGTGCCCAAGGCCGCGCTGGGCTGTGTCCCCATGCCGGACACCGGCTCTGCACCCGCTTCCCAGCAGCTGCTTTCTCTTCTGCAGGGGTTGGCTGCATCCAGGGTCGCCAGTGCTCATAGGGTTGTGAGCGAGATTGCTTTTTAATGAAAAGCAGCAATTAGAAAAAATCATGAATTTGATTTTTTTTTTTTGAAACTTACAGTGTCCAATTAACTACTTGCTGAAGTCAGCTCAAGAAGTCCTAAAAACAATGTTGTTTCAGGTGTAGTATTCCCACAAATTACGTACCTTGAGAAATAGTATCTTGATTCATTATTGGTATTTTAGGGAAAGGGAAGAATGGTAAACTAATCACAATATCTACACGCACTTAAAGCAGCCCATTCCCTGAGAGCACTATACCAAACATAATTGCCTTACTTAGCACAGTTTCAGCTTTCAAGCATTGTGTTAAAATGTCCAGATCTCACTAAATTAAAGGAGACACTTCCTTTCTGGGGGGAGGGCCTAGATGCTACACCAAAAATAATGGTCAATATCTTTAAGAACAGTAATAAAGGCATTTGTTGCTGCATTGTTGGTGTGTTACTCCAGACCATTTTGCCTGTAAATTGCCTTCACAGTTATGCTTGCCACTATCATTTAGGATATTTCCTAATTATTTACCATTAGCTTTGTCAAGAAGCAGCGTCTCGGAACAAAAAACTCAATAGGTCTTTCCCATAAATTCACAGAAACCAAGCTAATCAACCTGTGAAATTACTCTGTGTCCCCATTACTGGCTTCTCCTTGAATCAAAGTGTTGAGAACTGATACTGAGGTGCACAACCAACAGCTTTATTGAACATGTCTCCATTGCATGGGTCTCTATGAGGCCATGATGAAGCTCCCAAACTACTATGCCAGCACATTTGGGGTTCAATTTAAATTTTGTGCTTTTTTTTTTTCAGTGGCAACCTCCTCATTTCTTCCAAAGTTTACCTCCTGCACCTGGATGATAACTTTGCAGCACCTGGCTCTGAGGTAGAGCGTTTTGCTCCGTGTTGCCAAAAGCTTTTCATGACTTTCTCTTCTGCCCTCATCACTGATAGAGACCATTAGGAGAAAGAACTAGCTTCAAGCTGTCATGAGACACAAAACAGAATAAACACACTCTGCCCTTTCACCTAGCAGTTTGTAAACAGAGATTAAATTAATCGTGTGTGTTGTCTACACCTATAAACATCCTCTTGGGACATAGGTGACTCAAAATACACCCTGTCTTTGCCAAGAGGGAAAACTCTGTTCTAGAGCTGGATATTTTTGATATATGTTCCTTTGATTAACGCTTTCCTTTAGAGATAAAATCAACATGTTGAATTGCTACAAAACTAAGTTAATTAACAGCTATTTTATAAACCATTTGAGACTTATAATAATAGAAAAAATAATTTACAATTAATGAAACCTGAAAACTTAAAAAAGTATTTACATGGAAAATACTCTTTGTCATACAACTTTTAGAAAGAATTGTTATTTTCATATCATATTCAACTTACTCTGTATTTTTTTCTATCAGTTGAGAAAACAGGAAATCACTAGTAAGCAATTCATTACAGTTTGGCAAAAGCTGTCAACCTCTGCTTTAGAGATTCAAAAATAAGTCACATCAAGGAATGTAAAATACCATTGATTTTAAAAGACAGAGCTGCCTCAGAGGCTGAAATAATTGGTGTGTTTATATTGAGAAACCTAGACGGCATCTTGATAGCCTGGTGACTGCAGCCTCCCTTTTTGGGTCGGCGTAAACGAGAACTTCCATTTTCAGCTTTACCAACTGCGCAGATGTCTGAGGCACCACATTTAACCTTGTTTGTGTTTGGGCCAACTTCTCAGCTGGTGTAAATCAGCAGAACTCTGTTGATGTTACGTGGATACAGTGAGTAAGAGCAGAGCCTTGCTGCCATTCATCAGTTGTAGCACACGAAGCAACCAAGGGGAACTGTGTTTCGTGTGGCGACCGCATCAGCTGAGGGGCAAGCCTAACACTTTGTATGATAAGACTGACAATATCTGTAAGCAAATAAATAAAACTGACTTCACAAATTTGCCTTGAACCACGTACAAATGGAAACACCAGCCTTTCTGTAATCTGGGAGCTATCGAGTTACTTAGTTTTGTAGGTACAAAAGGCTTTCATATAACCACTGCTGCCAATATAGCTTTTAGGCACATGAAAATGATTAGATTTCTTCCCCAAATCCACTAAATACAGATTCACTTCAGAAAACAAGAAGTAAATGTTGCTGATTTCTTGGCAGCACTGAGGGTACAGTACTGCCAAATCACTTACTGTACAGCGTGAGGCTGAACCAAGAGGCATAAAGAAGAACTAACAGTGCTAGTCACATGCAGCAATTAGCTATGGTAACAGAATTGTTTTTAAACTAGGATTTGGACTTCATTTAAATAAAACTTGCCTCACATTTACATGTTACAAGGCATTCAGCCTGCAATAGAAGTACTCACAATGCTGAGTCCCATTGATGCAATTTTCATTTCAGGCAGCAAGGGAGGGCTGTGCTGGGGACGTAAGAAATACTCTTCGCTTGCAGAAAACATTTTAATTCTGTAGATAAATAAAGATTCATGCTCCCCACCCCACCAAAGAATTATTCAACCATTTTTGCAAAACTGTATTGTTAAATAGTTCTCTTCGGTCTTAAGCTGAAAACCAGTATACCTTGATTAAGAAGTGATTAATACTACTCAGTGAGGAGCTAAGCTGTCATATAATAGTCTGGAGGATCCGCAAAAAGTCAGAAAGATATTACAACACAGCATGAGCTACTCTCTGATCTTCTAAATACCTGGGCTGTATTTGCTTCTACAATTTCTGCCTTATCTAACCTTCTTTATGTTCACCTGTAAGTTTATATTAAAGCCCCAATCAGGAGCATGGCTTCCAACACTGGGGATTTCATCCTCTACAGAAATTAACCACCTCAAGTACATGCTTTTGCACTTCAAAAGTCTTCCTGCCACTGCTGTGTGGTTCCAAGATAGTAAAGTCCAGGCAGAAATACCAGGGCAAGCCTATCAGTTTTACAGCATTTATATACAAATGCATACATGTATGTGCACTTGATTCTGTAACATGAGAGGCTATTAGTAATAGGAAAAACAACAGTAGCAATAATAACAATTAGCTATATTAGAGTACCATGATGATTTATGACTACTGAGACATACTTACACCAGGTGTGCTGCAATTATGGTTAGTATCCCATATAATTTGATTGAAACAAGGGATCCCTATAAGGCAGATGCTTATATTGCTATGATGTTCCCTCATGAGAAAGATGTAACAATTTAATTCAGCTGATTACTCTGATGATTTGGGCAAACCAGTGGAAACACTGCACAGGCCAGTCCTGATGAGCAATTTTTCCCTATGCAAGGTGCTTATGGTTTAAATAGCTTGGGCAGACCCAAGGTGGAGCAGGTAGCAGAGAGCAGCTCTGCTGGCCTCAGGTCACACGACAGGTCAGTGGCAGAATTAGGAAGCAAGCCTGTTCTCCTAACTCCCAGGCTTATCCACTTGACCATGCTGCTCTCGATGGCTACGGGAATTAATTGACAAATTCAAACCGTGCACGGAACGCTCTAATTTGCTTTGACTCCACCAGCAGAAGTCCTGGCTGCATTCTCTGGGGCGCATCGCGTCTGTTGCCATACATGCAGACTGCAGCTGGCTTTGTGCACAAGTGCAGGAGTGGGGGCAACGATGCAGCCTTAGCACAGGAGCAGCAGGCAGAGCTCGGTCCTGCTCTGGGAGACGAGGGAGGAAGCAGAGGAACTGACCCCCTTTGCGCATCCCACGCTGCAGCAGCCGCCCTCCTTTCTCGCCAGCGAGCAAGGAAGGCGACTCGTGAGGCCGGGCTCTTCTGGGCCACTACAGCTACTCGCCGTCCAACTGGCTTCATACAGTCTGCCCTGCAAAAGCAATTAGCAAGAATAAACTCCTTATATTCCCTGAGCTTTAAAAAAAAAGAAAAGAAAAGAAAAAGCAAACAAAATACATCCGTCGAAGTGTTAGAGTCCTTCAGTAAGATGCAGGCTCTGAGCTGGCCAAATGAAGTACAGGCTCTTCTGTTGAATCTGCCTGAAACATTTTTCTTGTATCCCAGCTGTTACAGCACCCAGTCGACGGAGCTGTGAGATGAAGAACATATGCCTGTAACACTTCATTTCAACAGGCTCACTTAGTGTCTCTTTCTTTGATCTTTCACTGTATACTTCCTGTAACTGGAGTTAGTTACAGGCTGAAACAAAGCCCAGAGTTACCAAAGATTTTTTTTCCCCCTAAATATTCCTTTTGTACCAGATTCTGTTACCACGTATTTTAAATGAACCAGCTGGACTGTAGTGTCTCTGCTAAAATGTTGCCTCAATTCGAACTCTTTCAAACTATCTTTACAGCACTCAGTGTTGTACTATCAAGGTACTCTATGAATTGGTTACAATTTTTAAAACCTATTAATGCACATTTAAGTTCCCTTTCCAGCTAGTAGCAGCCTAAATGAAAAGCACTGTTCACCATGAAGAGCCACACACAAAATCTACAACTAAGTCAGGGAGTCAATATCCTGTCACTAGGTCTGTCTTCTTCATCATTTTTCTTGTAAAGTGATGGATTTTTAATCCTCACCTTTGGTCTGTGGATTTAGTACTAGCCATTCTGGTGGGGCCAAGCTGTTTGCCCAAAAGAGTTCCAAAATGCTGGGATAATGTCCTCTTTTGACTACAGATAGGTAGAAAATTAGAAAGGGCTGTTAAAAATGAAGTGATCTTTCCACAAATAAATGGTTGAACTGTTGTGAACTAGTTTTGACTACAACAGCAAGGAAATATGGCTATCATGAACATAGTAGCCTTTTCCACAGTCACACATTTGCTTTTTCCATATCATTGCAGTAGCATAAGAATCAGATGAAAGTAAAGGACCAACATGGCACTGTAAGGAGATTATGTTTGAACAGCACTGCGTGGCACCACCCAGACCATCTTTCACTCGCATGTCAGATGCTGTGATTCCAAAGATCTTTGTTAAAGGAGAAGCAAAATTCACATATACAGCAACATACAGGAAGAAAATTTTAGTAGAATGCTAAATGGTTTTAAATAATTAACTATGTAAATGTTGTGCTGCATAAGCATGAAGTACATTTTAAGCATATGGGTAGTAGAAATGAAACTAGAATTCAGTTATCCTGGATTCTCATTCCTATGCTTGTTTCATTACAATGTGGAATTGCACAGGAAATATTTTCATCTTCAAATTTCAGTGTCTCAGACTTTTTAGTACATTTGTTAGATTATTTGATTTTTATTATTCTGTTGAGGTGACTCTTTAGTACTTTACATCATCAGTGATCATTCCTAGAGAGGCAAAAGAAAAAAGGTCAGTTCTATTACATGTTTTTCCCAAATTCTAAACCGCTTGTGTTATGCAGTAGAAATCAAGAGCTTTAATTGAATCATAGAGATTCCTGTCATACATAAGAAAAGGAAAGCTGAAGGAGAATTCCTTGGTGAATATGAAAAATAGTAAGAGTTACTGAGGACATTTCCTTACGTCTCCTCTGATCTACAGACAAAACAAACTGTAAGTAGAATAAGATTTGGAATGTTGTTTGTTATGTATGACTGAAATTGTTTTAAAACTGCATGATTCTTTTTCTTTACATTTTACTGTGGCTTCTTATGTTATAAGGTCCATGCAGAAGGGACTGCGTCCAGGGTTTTGAAACTATATTGGCCACTGAAGGGATCTTTAGGACCTTTAAAAATATCTCCTATCCCCTACACAATGCTTCTTGGATTGTTAGCAATTAGAATGCTGACAAAAACATGTGCCTCAGAATTTGAGCATATTCAATATAATGTTACGAAATAATCTACTTGGGGAAAAGACCTGATCTAAAAACATCACCTCTAGAATTTATTTGATGAATTGATTTTAACAGGAAGACGCTTAGTGGGGAAAGAGATTATGTAAGAGAAATCAGGAACACTAATAAGATTATTCACTATAGAGTTCATAGAGTATATTAAAATAAAATTATAATCTAGGATTTCTTTTAAAATGAGCATTAAATACCCATTCTGAAGCATCTAGAAGGTGCTGTTCTCCCAGCAATTATTTGCCCTCTGAAAAAAGAGTTGTGCCAAAAAAATTAGTTGACCAGGGGAAAAAATGAAGAAGCTTTGAATTTTGAATATACATGCCAAGCTTATGACTTGCTTACATATCTAAGTACTAATTAGAGGTCTTAAAAAGAAAAAGTGTACACTTTAAGGTCTAGGAAAGCATCATTGCGAGGGACCATACACTGTGTCACGTGGAATTAGGGACTGCCGCAAGGCCCACGATAAGAGAGCTTTGCACTGCAACGTGTTTTGCTTGCTCCAGCTGAGAAATGTTCCAGAGATTGTTAGCACTTGTCTTCCAATTAGCAGCACAGACCCATATACCCACGTGTGGGTGAAGATCATCAGTTATACCCGAATCAGCTATGCTAGAGCACGTCAGCAATCCTTTAATCTTTGTCCAATAGCAGCCAGCATCCCTTGTTTAGCTGCAGGACTGTAACCCAACTCAGACCATGGCCAAAGAAGACAGGTCATTAGGGTCTCCCTTTCTGTCATCTGGAAGAAGCACAAGCATCCGTTTGGGCCATCTGCACCTTCTCCGGAGGCTGATGTTCTGGGGGGCCGTGTTGGGAAAGACCATAACAGCTGGTGACCTGCAGAGGGAACTGGAAGTCTCAGAAAGGGTTGGAGAAAAAGGGAAACAGAGGAGAGATTTATTAATGTAATGATAATAAAAATTCATATCTTATCCATGGAGCCTGCCACCTAGAACAGAACCCAAGAGCTCCAGGATCCAGGGAGGATTTAAAGGTAAGAGAAGCTCATACTAAGAAAGTGCCCCACCATGGACACCGTGAACATGAAGGACACCATGAATAGATGTCAAAGTCCATGAGCTGGGGTCTACTTGCAGGCCAGTGTTTAAGGATAAGACAAATACAGCTCTTTCCCTTCTCTGGGGTAGAAAAAGGGAATGGAAGTGCTAGAGAAAACCTCAGCAGCCCCATAGTTACAAGAAGCTTGTGATTTTGAAAATATTTTTCAAATGTAATTATGTTGAGGTAAAACATCTTTGTAAAAATGCTGCTCAACAATGAAATGTTTCTGTCCTCTTCAAACTGTTAGGCCTGAAATCCTGCCAACAATACCCTTTGCAGCTGTTTATATTGGTTCAGTTCCCTTCCTGTTAATCCATTTATTTGTTCTGTGCTTGTTAGCATTTTGTGCTAGTTCTAATTTCCTCTTCCTATCTAATCTGTGCAGTTGACTCAGTTCAACTGTCAGATTCCTCCTTTTTTTATGTTGCTTTTTCACTTTTTTCATCTCAAGGTTCACATATTGCGTTAACTCCTCTAACTTATGAAAAAAATATGTGCATGTGTGTGTGTTAAATACTTAGGTAAGCATTACATTTACTTGAAAAACAAGGGACTGTTTTTTACTTTCCCAATAATGCCTGAAGAGTCCTTGGGATTGCAATACCCATTAGTAGCAAAGGAAACTTCATATGTAAATCCCTGTTTTACCTAAAGCCCCATTTATTCAGTCTGTCTCTGTCATAAAACTAAATGATCAGATTTAACATAAATTGTGTTACAGATTTTACTAATAGAAATAGATTGGTATGTCACGTTTTTACATTCAATAGTAGGGTCAAAACAGCTGACATTTAAAACCCATCAATGTTGACATAGAGATATCCCAATATCTTAACTCCATTCTTACTCAGGCATAGCTAGAATGGAGTTCAGTAAGAGCTCAGCCTAAAATAAATTGCATAAATCAGGTTAAGGACTCTGGGGTTTGTCAATGTATTTTTAATATACTGAATATTATGGAAAATTCCATCGGTTCATACACACTCCGTAATCAATGCTCACATGCTCCCAAGTTTTGTCAGACTAAAGGAAATGGTACACAAAAGGGTTTAATTATGCAGGAGTGACCTCAGTGCTCATATCTACAGTTATTAAATGCTGGCACACTGTGACCAAACTCTCTAGCTCCATTCACCAAGGGCATGATCCAAAGCTCCCAGAAATCAATGGTAGTAACTCAACTGAATGCAGTGAACTTCAGCTCCAGCACAAAAGGAATTGAAATGAAATGTGGCTTAAAAGACTGCGAGGAGGTTTTGCCAAATGGCTGCTCCTGCGCTGAAAAAGCATGAGCTGGTTTGGGCGATGGGAGAGCTTCAGCAGCAGAACAGAAATAGGGCTTTGTTTTTCAGGCAAAGTCATTTATAAAAGTAAAGACCGTTGTCAATATTTAACACTTGGGTATGAGAGGCTTTATAAATTAAAAAAGAGGTAAAGCAATACGTGAACTTTGTGATGAAAGAGGTTCTACTTTTACATGCATATTGTAAAGTCTCAAATAGGCAACATGAGCTTACTCTGGCCCTCCCCCCTGCCCAGGCATTTTATTATGAAGGGCCATATGAAGCACAAATGTTCATGTGCTTTGATTATCCAGCAAGACAAACTATCCGGAGCTCCATCTTAGGGCGGAATATTAACATTGTGTATGCCATTAAAACAGCTCTTAACTCACCAGAAAATTTTATACAAATTTGGCTGGCCACTGTGTATAAGAGTACACTGGTACTAGGAGTGTGTCTTGAATCCCTCAATAACCACAGGGTTTTATTTAAGTCAGTGGATAACCCTAAAACTTTCCCAGACTCTAAAGAAATTAGGCTCCTATACTTACTCAGAGGAATAGTAAATGGTTGGTGAAGGCTTGGACAAGGAGAGAAGTATGCAAAGTGACTGAAAGTCAGAGTGTGGGGTACTACTTTTGCCATCCTAAAGGCTATAAGACCAAAAAGCTGCCAAGCAGCCAGGAAAATAAGAGCAAAACCCTGAAAAGAAGTTAAAAGATGGCTCTTCTTGGTATATATGACACCAGAGTCTTACACATGAAGTTCTGAGCTGCGATGAGCTCCTTGATGCTCATTCCTCACGTGTAAAGAAGACTTCTGGAGGTATTTTGTAAATAAATGGTATTTCCCTAAGAAAGATACCTGTCTGAGAGCATCCACTTTTAATGATTCATCTTAATTACTTATTTAGATCATAATTACCTGCATTATTGTGCACTCTGCATTGTGCATACTTATTCTGCTGTTAGCAAGCCAGGGCAGCAAAGCGAAACACTTTGTGTCAAGGCACTGTCAGCGGTGTGTGCTGCACAAGCTGCATTCTGCTGCTTTCTGGAGGGAGCAAACGTACGCTCGGTGCTCATCTCATCTTTCTGAAAAGCCAAATTAAATTGCTCGCAAAGAAAATGAAACGTGGCATCAGGATCCAGGCGTGGGGAAGCCCTTACCAAAAGGATTGCTCATGGTTCAGCTCCCAGGGAAAATGCAGAAGCTGGTATTATTACTGCGAGCGCTGGGGAGCAGCCAGGGCAAGAGCCTGATAGGCAGCGATGCCAGGTCACCACAGACGTTTTGTGTCATGTGCTGGGCTCTCCACTCAGCTGCTTGTGGGATGAACATAAGGGCATAAGTGCTTTCTGAAGCAGACTGTGTGGTGAATTAAAAGTATATAATCTTGAAGAAAGATCTCACTGTGGCTCAGCTTGGTCCTTAGCAGTCAGACTGAATGACATCCTTAGAGCATCAGGAATTCTTATACTTCTGGAGATCAGTAACAATTTTTTTCTTTTTTTTTTCTTAAGTTGTTCTTTTTCCAACAACACTTCATTTTTCTTGAAGAGTGCACAGGTGTGTGGCTTAAGGTACAGCAGATTTGCTGATACTGGAATGTGGGGATGTTTACTCTTGAGTAGCTCAACCAGGGTGAAATTCTTTGCAAGCTCTGTAGTGCTGTATGCCAGCAATACATTGGATGTATCATCAGTCTTATTTAAATAGGGCATCTTGACCAAGCATTTATTTCAAGGAAGATGGATATGGAAGACTGTGAAAGAGTACCTCATGACATAAACCACTTATTGCATATGTGCTTAGAGGATTTGATATATTTAAGAAAGGGAATAGGTTTATGATTCGTTTCAAAAGATATAGTGAGTCCTCTGATGAAATGGTGAAAATAGCTAAATGCTTAAATCAGAGCAGGATTATGTACTGAATTCCTCTATCCATGTTGGACAGTTATCAAGATTCATGCTGAGAGTTACCTTTTCTGCCCTACATCTATTACAGAATAATCACTATCCTTTAAAATGGACCATAAGTCAAAGAAAGTGGTTTAAAAAATGCCATCTTTCCTAATTCATGTTTTCTCACGTTCAGAATGGACCCTACCTCTTCAGATACTTGGAAAGTTTTGAGTGGCCACCATAGATCTTGACTACATGCCATTAGAAATCACGGCATTTCTGTATCTGATAACGGACTAACTGTTCCAGACCCACCAAAACCTAGGTCTGTCTCCACGCCAAACCATCACCTCATATAATGCAGAAAATACTGCTCACACTCCTAATAAGAGATGTGGCCATCAGCCCGTGAGTCAGTCTCAAGTACCCAGAGGTGTTTTAAAATGTGGTGTTTTTAGTCCATTTATGTGGTTTGGCAGCAAGTATGTGTTAACAAGTAGCTCACCTACAGGAGACTTGCTCCTTGAGCAGCACACATGCAGGCAGTGACGCTGCGTCTGACAGCTGTGATATATGGCACTATCAGCAGCATATTCATCACATGGGTGCCTAGAGAGGGACAGAGACACTTCAGCCTATGGCCACACAGGTTTCTTCAAAGATTTCCTAGATCAATAACTATTTTGGTTATATACTATACACTAGCATCACTGAATTACTAGGCACATTTCTCCCACTGAGGGTAACATCCTGCAAAGGCCTTGATTGGTTAACAGCGAACTAAAGGAACAACTATATGAGGTTAATAAGGAGAAAAAAAAAGAGCATGTTCTTCAGCACAGATTTCTTATATAAAACTGTGAAGCTGAAATGTGTGACAGCAGTGCTGTCTCTGTCCATTTACATGTGTAACTAACTCCCTTTTGCAGGGTAATGTTTTTTCCATTTCCACCATATAACAGCATTCTAGAGTTATAGGTAGGATAGGCAATATACAAATAGAGAATACCCATATATAAGCAATAATAAAGATCTTAAAACACAAGTCACTTATGCATAAAATCCCAGCAGTAGGACTATACTGTTTTTCCCTGACGTGCAAAGCCATGTGAATGTTGTGTGCTGAACAGAACTGAAGCACTGTGCTGAGCTTTCCAGTCACATAAAAATATGTAGTATATTTCCAATCAAGAAATAGAATGATGAACTTGACTGTGTTTGTCTTTTACCTGTAAAGGCATTGAACTGGACTGCTCCCAAGCAATAATTGCTACAAGGCTTTCCCTTTGAAATCTCAGGAAAGCATGGGTAATTCTAGTCTTGAAAATGGAAACGCTAATAAATAATGAAAAATTTTGGTAATAATGATCTAATTTATCCCTTTAAAGATACTGATTATAAATGTAAACAATAGTGCAATTCAACATTTATGAAGTCCTTGTTTTCTCTTCCTACGGAATTTACTTAACAGACATCACTAGACCCATCCATTATTTATCTTCTTTTAAAATTTAATGAATACGGATATGAAAATTGTTAAAAATTGAAACACAGAAAATGTCTCATTATCTCATTGATGAATCTGGCCTGTAAGTTCAAATCCACAAGTGAAAATGAGTTTGCCAGTCTCAGCTACAGAATATTTGTCTACTGCAGAGTTTGAAGAATTAATTCTTTACAGCAAGCAGATGTCTTAAATAAATAATGCATTTCAAAGTCAAGACCATGAAATGTACTAATTGTGAAAAGAAAATTAGTTCTTTTTAAAAAAAAAGAGTCAACTTGAACCCTTGCCTAATATTCCATTCAAAATGATAAAAAAATGAACTGAAAGAAGTTAGGCACTTTATCTATACATTTCTGTGTGTTCTATGCTGTGTTCTGTGCTTCAGTAGACTTGATGAGGTACTATAAAAATAGCTTAATGTTTTTTTAAAAATAACAACAACTGCCCTTATTCCTGCTCTGGTTAGAATTGGGATTTGTCAAAGAAAAAATTTTATAGCCTTCTAAGATTTACTGCTAGACTTACAGAAAAAAAAATTAAGATAATCTTTGGAGAAGTAATCACGCAACAGGTTTGCTCCTTTGAGCAAACCCGATCTTTGACAGAATTCTGTGAGGACAGTCACTGCAGATAAACTATATTTGGCTGGTTAGCACACCATTTCAAGACAAACTTAGCTCTACTATTTTAGTAAGTCTTTCCAAAATATATTAGGAGAGTAACTATTTAAAAAAAAAATGTGAATTTTTACCTCTGTCATATTTGGACCTAGTGACAAGATATTCTTCTCCTGCAAGAGACTTGCTGTTTTCCAGTATCTTCAACAATCTGCATTCTGTTTTTCATAAATATTCTGTATAAGCAGCTTTACAACTTTGGATGGTCTCAAATCACAGGAGGGAAATGAAGCATAGGAAGTTGTGAGAGGCTCCAGCCACTGCATCTGAGAATGAAGAAATATAGACCATTGTTGAAGAATTAGAATTACTCTGATAGGAAAGTGTTGAAAAATAAAAGGCACTGTACAACATACAGTTCTTGCCAGGAAACCATCTATCAAGAGACTACTAAAGAGGTATCAGTGTTGGGAGTTTGCCAGCGGGATCTGACGATATGCCAAAACAGGTGTCTTAACATAGGGGAAAAGATGAAAGCTCAGGCACTTCAATAGTTTTCATCACTGGAAGCAGAGGAACAAGACTGCACTCCTAAGAAAGGGAACTATCTTTCTGCTCCTTCAGCAGAAGGACTCCCTGAGACCTGAAAGCTGAATTCTGTACATATTGTAATCTCAGATCAGAGGAACGTGGAGCACCAAACTACAGTCTCTGGAAGACCTGTTATTGGGAAGCTAAAAAAATCATTGTAGGGACTACAATCATTGAACTTACCCCTGCAAATGCCACAAAATGTTACGCAGGACAGTTGTTCAGCTCCCGGGTTTGCCACACAGTGTTAACTTCAGGCATCCTTCCAGGCCAGATCGACGCGCCACAAGCACAACCCCGAGTTCCTCTCCTTGGGAAACCTGGATGTAGGAGCAGAGGGGGTTGCCAGGAGTGTGCACCTGAATCCTGGCACTGCATGAGGCTGGGGCACAGCCAGGCAGTGCTACCTGGAGGCACTTCTGGCTCCCCAAAGCTTCAATTGAGTTTGTGTGTCTCTGTTCCCAGAATTCTAGTAGTATTTTCGCACCTGTCTGCTAAGATATTTTTGCTTGCATTTGTGAGGTCCACATATACTGCAGAAATAGGTCTTAAAAGCTGGAAAAAAATGGAGATAGAAAGCAGATTTCTAAGTTGCTTATCAAAGAGCTGTAACTTCTCTATATTGTTTTTTCCTTTTTTGTACAATGATGATTTTTTGCAGTGTGAATTAGAAGGAATCTTAGCTGTAGGAATTTGAAATGATTTAGCAACATTTGCTTAATTACAGAATGGGCTACATAGTCCAAAATAATTGGCTATCCACTGAGTCCACTAAGGTGAAGTAACTAAAGAGAGAACTACACTAGGACAAATCCAGGCTAGATCTTGCAGTGCAGAAGCCTCTATGCTCCTTCCACTCCTATGTTAGAAGGAACATTTGTCAATATGGGACTATGTCCATGACAAAAGTATATTATAGCTCTGTCAGTGATTTAAGATTACAGCTTTTGATTAATTCACCAGCCACTCGGCTTTGCTTTTTCTAAACAACATAGACAACTGTCTACTATAATCATCATTATAAGGTTGTAATAGGGTGGCATGTATCTTTGGTCTCTTACTCAAATACAGTGTGTTTTAGTATCAAGACTCCTTAATTAAAAGGATATCCAGTGACAAGCAAACTAACAGCACTTCACATTAAGCTGAATTATAATAACCAAACGCTTTATTGTAATTCTGCCAGTTCCTGTAACTCTGTAATTGCATCCACATCCTGACATGCTTCTGTTGATACCATAAATGCATCAGGGCTTCCCATTCTAAGATATATCCCATGTTTTCCTAAGTTGAAAACAAAAGCATGGCACGTGGAGAAACCATTGGCTGCAAAGGCAGAATAAATATTTCAAGCAAGGCCTCACTGTGCCATAAAACACGTGCATCTGTAACACGCCACGCAAATAACGTGTCCGCAAGAGGCGATTCGAACGTGCTGGAGAACCGTGCCAACGCTTCCCAACCAGTTTCATGCCTCCCTATCACCATCCAACAATTTACAACCTCCTCCCCATCCAGCAAAGTGTCCTTTGCCAGTGGCAGATCCCACGCTGCCAGCCTGTCCGTTCGCCTCCTTGGATGCCGTGGTCTCTCACGGAGCTGCCGGCAGCCGCCGGAGGGAAAGCCCAGTGCTGACCAGGGAAGCTGCTGCGCCCCACGCTTGAGCAGGGATCCCGCTGTCCTGGCCCTTCTCCTTGGCTTGGGGCATTGCCCGCAGCGCTCCAGGTGTACCAGCTGCACGAGAGGAAGAGCGCAGGGCAGCAGGGGACCCGTCCTCACAGAAATTTCCAAGAAACATGCCCAAAAACCAGGCGAGAGATGCAGCGTGTTCAGCCTTCTTCCTTCCAACATTTCTCTTTTTTTTTTTTTTTTTTTTTTTTTTTTTTTTTTTTTTTTTTTTTGATTTTTTTTTTTTTTTTTTTTTTTTTTTTTACCGGCTGCTGCTGGCATTACTTTCTGCTTGTTTCTTTTAAATCAATGACTTGTTGGATGACTAACGGGGGGACTAGGAGCTCAAGAGGAAAACGTGAGAGACAGGCCAGAGGCGGGGGGACAAAAAAGAAGAAACACTGTCAGAAGGGCCACAGGAAATGACTGCTAAGTGGTGTCTAGATTTGACCTGCGGATCAGGTATATAGCGCGCTTGTTCTTAGAAGAAGGAGCGATAGCTGCTTACCAAAACCTCTGTCACTCCCAAGTCTCTTATGTTGGTTATAAAAGCCCTAGTGCAAAGAAAGACCACTCATCTTTTGCTCAAAACACTCCCAAATAGGAATCCGAGCTTGCAAGAACACCTCTTCAGTTTTTACTGCTAGCTGGATCAGCCTCATAAATGCCTAAACTCATATATAAAAATGTTAATGTTTTCCAATTGCTATTCGGAATTTATATTTATTGCAATACAACGTAGCCATTAGCACATCTATCACTGGTAAATTTGTTACTGCTTCAAATATACAGTACATAACGTTGCAGCAATTTCATTTTACAAGCTAATAATGTACTGTAATGTAGCTTACAATATCATGTAGATGTATTTGATTAGGGAGGTTCAACAGTCAGTCAGGTTGAATAGTGCGTTATATAAGAATCAAGTTTTTAACTTATTTACTGTACAAATGAACAGCTTTGGTGCACAATAAATGTGTTAATTTAACAGGTGTATTATTTTATTTTTTCAAATACTCACTGAAAAGGAACAAATGGGAGGCAATCTATTTTGACTCAAATTGAAGTACAGCAGATTTGCAATGTTTTTTGACACTTGACATGTTTATTCTTTAAGAGAGTAATCATGTTTAATTGTTTTCTGAATTTATTTAGCTGTGTATTCCATTACAGTATCTTCCTAAGTGCCGGAGATGCGACTAAAACATGTTTTCCTTGAATGCAGTAACAGCGATAGACCTTTTTTTTCAGAGAAAACAAAGCCTCAAAAACCACCTGGGCCAAAGATTTCAGTAAGTTCCTGGTTATTACCACCCATGTCAAAACAGCCATATTATCAGATATAACAGTAATGGGGACCATTATAAGAATCAAAGACCGGCTTGTTGTGGGTGAGTCAGCAATGTCTGCTTTTCTTACTAATTCACCCCAGTGGTAACCTGATTTGAAACAGCTTTTTTGTGTGTGTATGTGCAGATAAATCAAGGGGCATACATTCACAAGAATGTATCTATCTGAAGGACCTTGTGCAGGCGCAGCTTTTTAAAGCCATGTCTAAGGAAATTAACTCGGGAGCACATATTTATATTAAGTTTTACTGCTTAGTTAACCATATTCAATTAAGAAAACAGAAGTTATTAGGCTAGTATTAATAATTAGGCTAAGAGGCTAATAATTAATCATTGGTGAAATTCCACACTCAGCATTCTGTTTGTACACCCTTAAAAAGAATGAAGAAGATTTTTAGCTCCCTAATCCACTCCCACTCCTTCAGTACATTCCAGCTGGGAAATGGGACAAAACAGGAAATAGTTTACAATTTTTTGTGTGTGTGAAAGGGGACTATAACTGTCACTACTGTTTAGCTTTTAATTTCCCGAGTTTTGTCATTCTTTGAGCCCATTCAGATAGGATAGCTTTTAATTTAGTTCTTGACAGTCACAAACTACCCACAAGGGTACTGGGGCAGGGAAAAATCACATGAATAACTCCTGGAAACTCCAGCTTCCTAAGGACTCTTATGAAAAGCAATATTCTATCATTTCTGCAGTCATCTTTGCTATAAAAGATCCGCTAAGAGCTGAGGAAAAGAGTTTGACACACGGAGCAGAACTAGTGGGAAAGGAAGCTAACATATATGGTGTTAATGAAGAGAAGTATTTTTCTTCGTGATAAGTTGAAGTGACATGTGAGGGTGGCCCTTAAAAATCCTCCATTTATTCCCCTAGGGCAAAATCACTTAATGGGCTAGGTCCAATTTCACTAAAGGCAATGGAGATTCCTAATTGGCTTCAGTAGACTTTGGATCAAGGCCATGGAAGTCATACAGATCAAAATATTTTCAGCTATCTAGCTGGATGGCAAGAAGTGGCTGTTGTAATAATGTTTGTGTGAGCAGTTCGTGTGTAACAGGAGATTGTTTTTATTCTGCTGCTTCACTGCAGGGAAAAAAACCATGTGTTTATTGTTTATTTCTCTGTCCAAGAGACATCTACAGCTTTCTAATGTCATGCAGAGGACACTAATGCAATATATTATGCATGCTCTCTATATTCCGTTGATGTCACTGGCTTTCACCTCATCTCATTTGTCTATTGAATCTGGAAGGTGGTTGAGGGGTGATGAGAAACGAAATACCCTAAATCTGTCAGAATTACTTAGACATGTTGATGTTTTTTTGGGAAAAAAAAAGCGTATTCATTGCAGTGCATTGCTTTTCCAAGATAGATTTGCAAAGTGACATGTATTAGATCCACATGATTACATTGATCAGTATTTGTTTTATTTGTTCTCCTGATGAGGTATCAATAATGTGTTATTAACAGAGATTTAGTAAAGATAAATATTAAATGCTCAGGAAAATAAAATAAAACAAAAAAGCCCACTCTATCTACCCTGCTCTACTTTTTCCATTTCTGCTTTTTGTTTGCATATTTATTTCATATTCCATCTCTATATTCTCCATGCTTTATTAATGTACTTTCATCATGAGATAAAAGAAGTGCACAGCCCTCTGCAACTCAGGAGCATGTTATCCCATCCACTATGGCATTGGCACCACCTACACAGTACTGTGTGTATTTTCCCAATCCAAGACAAGCCTGTAAGTGGAAATACTCTGTCTTCTGCATCTTATTCAAGTGGTTTACTGAATGCTATTCTTTTGAGTTTCTTTATGCTGGCTTACTCCTTTTTCACTTAAAAAAATGAAGACCTGACTTAGAACACCCGGACAGCTTTTATTAAGATGCTAAACAGAAAAAGAGCTGCTGACTATGAAGTTCCATGATTGATATCCTATACAATTTAACCAGAGAAAGAAAAACAAGATTTTCTGAAAATCTTGGTTTCCTAAAGAAATCTTGCACCCTTACCACACAAATTTTCTTATTGCATTTTATAATACAGAGTAACATAGTATGACTTCCATCTTACCATTCTTTCATTTCATGAAACCTCTACGCTTGGCAAGAAAAAAAAATCCTTTTTTAGATATTACTGTTGGAAATGTAGCCATTTAAACCGCATGCCCATTGATTCATGAAACTCTTAAAAGTGTTCAAGTTTGGTACTCACTACTGAAATAAACACCTTTTGGGCATCCTGCTCTAATTCCATAAAATAAAATAAATAGTAAATTCAGTGCTATCCTAGCTAATTTGTAAAGTGAAGATGTCACAAAACATTAAGTTTTTAAGTTGGTTGTTTGCAGCAGCTCTTTTCAGACGCAAGCAGCGGTCACTCACGCTATAAACACTGTCTCTCCTGCTTCCAAACCCTTGTAAATCAATAAAAAGGAACTCACTTTCCTTCGCCAGTAAAACACAAAACAAAAATAAACTCTCCAAAGGCTCCACATCCTCTAGTCTGAGGTAAGGAGGAGGCAGAACAATTAATTTAATTAGGATTCAAAATAAAATCTAAAAAAAATATCCCCTAAGAACTAGTCCAAAGGACAAAGCAGAATCAAAGAATACAATGGAGATTTTTTTTTCCTCCATGCGTATATTTTGTTTTCTTTCTATGCAAAAACAAATGATGAACTTTGGATGTACTCTGCTCTGTTTTTTTTTCCTTAAGACACCCACATATCCTCTGCTTCCTGTGAACAGTGCAAGGCTACCACAGGTTGTCCTGCTAATCCAAGCGAGAACCAAGTTGACTCATCAGAGAGGGACTGAAAAGCAGATAGATGCAACCCAAGGCAGAGTCGAACGAAATGCAGATCAGCAGGCAACAGAATGGTTAGTGAATCCAATTGAAAACCCTCTCTCCAGAGTTCTCTCTCTCTCACACACACATCTACACACTTGATTTATTTGTGAAACGGTGTCTTCTAAACATAGAACTTTGCATAGCAGAAAGGCAATTAAACAGAACAGCTTGAAGCTGTCAATCACTCCAACAACCAACAAAAGCATCTACTATCAAAGCAAATAATGTAAATGTACAAAAATACATTTCTATCAAAGCAAATAATGTAACATGCAAGATAAAAAAAATAAAAAGGCCTGTTTATCAGCTGTCATAGGGCAGTATACATTTTTAGCCCTCCCCCCTCAGAATATATCTTTTTCTCTTTGGATATATATTTTACTACATAAATGTGTCCCTCTACTTGACGTGGAATGTAAGAGGTAGCTTTTTGGTGAGCTTTTCTGCTGGGGCCCCATACTACTGTTGTTGCAGGTTGGTTCTTCTTTTTGTGGCTTCTGGTGTACAAATAAATTGACAGTCACAGCTTATCATCCCTTAAAGATGCATGTGCATGCTGGAGTTTACTGAAACATGATTGGCTGCTACATAAATCAATCTGATAGAGATCGGTCCCATGGAAAAAAGATAAATCATTAGTCCGTGCTTTTGGAATGTAATTCATTTTAGATAGTGATTATTGATGATTTCATTTCACCGGTACATGTACATGTCTAAACCGTGCTTTTATATAAAATGTTAAAACAGTGGAATGGATTCATTTCAAGAAAGGCCATGAAAAAATAGTGATTAAGACCTTGTTCCGGCAACACTCTGATGAAAATTTTCATGCAGACAAGTTTCTCCCTTTTTTTTTTTTCTAAATAAAATAAACTTATGTTTTTCACAACAATTATAACTGAGTTCCATGCATGCAATATCTTCCTGTGCATTGCAGTAAGATTTTTTTTTTTTTAAACCAAAATAAAGGTTCTGTGAAAGCAGGTTCACCTCATTATGGTGACATTAGATTTTGCCATATATCCAGGTAAGTTTTTCCCTTAAGCATCCTCAAGTTGTATGGGTTAAACCACATCGACTTTGGGTTAGCCCTCATTACAAAGGAGAATTTCTTTGGCTATGCAAATCATTTGATTCCAAATAACCTGGCAGCTAAACATATAACTTGCTTCATTTATATGATTAATCATGAAAATCGTAACAAAATAGATGTTTTAAAGCATAATCCATAGCCACGTAACGCTTCCTCACAGCACCGTGGTAAAGTAGGCAAGCACCATCGTGCCAATCTGCGGGCGTGGAATATGAGCCAGAGAACTGTCACGATCTATCAAGAACTCATAGCACGTCCGTGATAGAAAGACACTTCTGAAACATCACCCTGATCTCATCCTTCTTTCAGCACTTTTTAAATATTCAGTCACGTGCACATTCAACGCAAGCTGAAATTCAGTCCCTCACCAAGGAAAAAAGATACATTCTTAATATTCTCTGTGTATCTTGAACTTCGTCTCTGCTTCCTTCCCCATTTCTATTTCAAATTGGAAAAAAAAGAGAAAGAAAAAAAGGCATGCAGTCCTTCCGGAAAGCAATCCCTTCTAAAATAAGCTGACCTTGAAATAATCTAAGCCAAAAAAAAAAAAAAAAAAAAAACAAAACAAAACAAAAAAAAACCCCAAACACCTTATTTCATGCACAGCTAACTCAAAATCAGCCAAAGAGAGTCTTACCAAACTTTCCAGAAGAATTTACCTTCAGGCTGAGAGCAAGCATGGAAAATTCAGGGCAGTTCTTCAAATGTTTACTTTTATGGATCTCATCTCCTTGTATAAAGCATGAGGGGGCAGATGAAAGATGGATGAGCACTGTGCTCTCACCATGGAGGAGATCTCAGCCTCCTGAGAAGCTTTCTGAGAAGAGGTACTGAGTAGTACTGACGTAGGTGAAAAATGTCCGAGTTCACTCCAAAAATATTTCCCAAAATTTCCTCTGGAGGCCACGGATCTTGATGTTTACACTTATATCCACAGATTTTGGGGAAATACTTTCTGAATTTGTGTTGCTGTCTGTCCGACTATCTATCCATCTGTCACTTTTTCTAACAGACTGCTCTGAGAAGGTAATTTTTATTTGCTAGTAATCTGGCTTCTGTTGGCAGGTTTCTCCACTATGTCCTCCTAGCAGGCATGCAGAAGACCCAGAAAGCAAGCTTTTAAGGAGCAGCATTTTTTCACTTTAGTTTCTGCACAGAAATCCTCCAGTTTTGCTGCAGACGTTTTTCTGCTACTCTTTGTATTCCAACCCTCCATATCCACTGGATCCCAATGAATGGGTAGCTGGAGGGAAGAAGAAAGTAAAGGAAAAAATCAAGAAAAACAGAAAGGAAAACATAAAGGCAAATCAAGAAAAACAGAAAGAAAAACAGAAAGGCAAGGAAAGGAAATTGCAGAGGGAAAATCTTCAATTTTCTGCAGTCCCCAACAGACACTAACAGCAGTGTCATTTTTTTTATGGCCTTGGGGACACTTGCATTTGAGCAATCACTATCTTCTTGAAAATCTTCTGAGACAGTCAGGTTGTTTAAATTGGCTTGTTTTAAATGGGTATAAATTTAACATCATTTACAAGAGTCTGGGTATTAGCCCAAGGACACCTTGCTTTTATATCATTGGTTCTGTCATGTTCTGACTTTTCTCCAGATTACAGGATTGCTTACTATTTTGACAGAAAGCTGACACAACACACACTTCTTTGCAATGAAAGAGAAATTAATATAGCTCCGTGTATAAAACAATAAGCTTATTCCAGAAACAAGTTGGTCATACAATAGGTCTGACTTCATTATACATGAATCTGACATTGCTGAAAAAGATTATGCTAACTACTAGTGTATTGTTTGTGTGTTTAGAAAATACTAAACAACAATTTTGGAAAATGTGGGTTTTTTTTTGTAGACATCTTTTGGAGGAAGAAATCAAGTTTAATTATTTTGAGTTCTGCAATCAGAATTAAATATTACTATATTTTGGGCACAAGGTTTGTGGAGGCCTTTGAATGCTGCAAACTTTTTCCAAGTGATGTTTTACAGAATTGCTTTTAAAAGCCCCAGAGGGTAAATAGTATTCTCAGAATAAACAGAAAAATGCTGACCTTGTCAGATTTAGCTGCTGAAAGCCAAGCTGTTTTAAGACTTGGAGGATCAAGGGTCATGGTTATAAACAACACAGATAAAAAGAAAGAAAGGAAGGAAAAAGAAAGAAAGCGAGAAGTAAAAAAGAACTACACAGTGAATATAAGTGATAAATATGTTGACCTTGACAAGAAGGGAATGAGATATTTATGCAAATGGGAGGAGGAGAGAAGAGGTGGAAAAGAGAGGAAGACGAGAAAGTGCACAAACTGTACTTGGAAAAAAAAAAAATGTTTCTTAGAGTTTGTTTAAAGCCGGAAATGAGTCACTTGAGCTTCATATGTTTTTGGTTTCAAAAGGGGAGAAAGGTCAAAGCTTCTTTGTTTTAAATAAGCTGGTCACTACTTCTGAAGTGTAATGTGATAGGGTTCAAGAGGCTTAATGAAAGTGGCATTTCCCTGACACCCTGGGCTGCAGCACCCCAGCAGTTGCAGGGCCGTGCACCGTAAGCCCAGGGAGTCTCATACACACAGGCACGGCAGAGCGTGACTTTGCTCGTGACCTTCATACCCTAGTGCTCCCGTGGCAGCCATATGGGCAGCATGATGGCTAAATTTGCCACCCCTCGTACACTTGCATGGGTTGCAGTTGCACGCAAGGACCTCGGCCGTCACGTTTGGGAACAAGCTGCTCCTCTGCGCTCTCGGCGACGCTTCTTTCCAAAAAGACTCTGACTGCACTGAAAGCAAAGTCCTAGAGGCACTGGGGACAGCAAGAATCAAAATCATCACGGCAAACAAATAAAGCAGAAAGGCTCCCCTTGAAAAAAAAAAGAAGAAAAATAAGGGGAAAAAAAGAGGAAATAACCCAAAGAGGAAAACACCCTATAGATTTGAATTAGACTTTACATGGGATATGGGTGTACTGGCTGAGACGGAAAGATTGTTTGCACCTCCCAAGCTAATTTTAACTGTGAGCCAAGGACAAATGGCAGAGAGAAAGGGGGTAGCAACAGGCAGTGGGTACTTGATTTTCAGGGCAATAACCTGAACACTGTCTTGCAAAGCAAGACCTAATCTTAAAGGACTGTCAGAGTTGAAAAAGGAAATAGAAGTCTGCATCAGATGAGGAGTAAAAAAAAAAAATAAAAAAAAAAAAAGGCCAAGGGCAACAAAGTCTGCAGAGGAGTCCACTGAAAATAAAGTGAATAATTCTGTATTTTCCTATCACTCACACTATGTTTCTCACTAGGTAAGTGCAGACTTACCATTTTGCACAAATGCCAGAATTCTTATCCTTCCTCTTCACAGCTCTTACACCTTCACTCTCTTCTTCCTGAGTTTATTTCCGGGCAGGCTCTGGCAATGTCCACCTTCTACATTCAGGACTCCCCCACATTTTGTTTCCTCTTTCACGCTGCCACTGCCCTTAGTGCACTGTATCAAGCAGTTTCTGTTATACATCATCCCCTTGGTTTTGATCACTTGCCAAGCTTCACATCTTGGTTAATACCCTGAAGTCCATCTAGAATAATATTTCTAATACATCTGATATTGGTACTGTAATTATTCTAGTATTAGGCTAAATGTTCTTTTAGAAGAGTCATTTCTTCTTCTGGCTTCCATAATATATCTGCTGTAAAAGGCCATCTGTTCCCAGCATACTAGAAACAACAATGGAAGCTCACACAGTAACGTAGAGATATGTATCACTGGCAGCAGAATTGAAAGGCAATTATGATAATGAAAATTGTGAACTCTGAAAATGACCACTTTCATTATTCTTTGCTGCGTGAATCCCCAAACTGGAATAGTTAATCAGCTTACAATAAAACTAACTAAGAGGTGATCGATGCAATGAACATTAGCAGTTTCAGATATGGCTTCAGATTTGCTATCAGAAATACCACTTGAACTGGCATGTTGAACAGAGCACCCCAGGAGCCAGGATTTCCTGCAGTGACATCGCTCCAACATTCAGTCTCTACTGTGTCCTCTACTGTCTTTCTGGCCTTCAGTCAAATTACCATTCATTCAAAAAATTCCTTTTATATTTAATTTTTTTTGACTCCTCTCTTACCTGCTTACTCTCCTGTACAGCTGTCTCCAAGCTGAAAGAAGTCATTCTTATAGCTTGAATCAGTGAAAGTGAGAAGACAAACAGTGCAGAAATTAAAGAGGTGGTCATCAGAAAATAGGGTGATAACTGTTCTTATTTGGGAATTTGTATGTCATAAAAATGAAATTAAGACTTTTAATATCAGACATTGAGAGCAAGAAGACAGCATTCAAAGTCACTTCCCCCACAATGTCTTTAGCCTTGCAGAAACCGGGAGAAAACAGCATGATAAGTGCAACCTATTTCTTGAGTATGGGACAGACACCATATCTATCCTCTTCCCACCTCGCCTTCTTGCACTCGGTAATCAGTCTAAGAAACACTAGAAGAGTCTCAATTGAATTTAAGTCCAGATGGAAAAACTTCTCCAGCAATTCACCGAAGTGTCTTCACTAACAGGTTGAAGGGATTCGCATCAGAAACTGCCTATCAGTGACTGCTCCTGTTCGTTGGTGGAACAAGAGAGGGTGCTGGTCTTTATTCTACTCAGCAAACAAGGTTGAAACACTTCTTTATTATCCTGAAACACTTTATGATTGTCCTCAAATAAATTGATGTTGACAAAGCATCAGTAAGTCATGTTATTCTACTTATTGACTTGTTGGGAAAAAACATTGAAGAAAATGAGAAAATATTTGGAGCTAAAAGAAGCTTTGCCAGATACTGAAAGTGGATGAGAATTAATCTGTTTTTTTTTTTTTTTTTTCCCTGCAAACAGAGAGACAGATGCATTGTAAAATACTAAGATTTTTTTCCCCTCAGTTCAAAAAACAACACACTTTTTACACATTCAGAAAAGCTTCAGATCTATCATTGATCTCTGGGAATTTCTAAACCTTTTGAAAGTTTATTTCTCATTGAAAACTCATCAGATTAGGACCTAAATTGAAAAAGGATGTTCTTGTGAGTTAAGGCATTGGACAGGAACTCAGAAACTCATGTTTCAAGCTCTGGATCTACTACACTTACTTTGTGATTCTGGTTGTGATCCAGCAATGCACTTAAATGGGTGTTTAATTTAAAACGCTGGAGTGGTCCCATGGACGTTAAGCACAGACTTAAGTCTTCACTGAATGGGAGATTTAGTCTGTCTGAGCTCATTTCTCCAGCAGTAACATGGAGATAATACATTCTGCCATAGTTTATTTTTACAGAAAACCCTCTGGTGCAAAAACTCTGACCTATGCAACACTGAGACCACCTGATCTCTGAAGCCTGTAAATATTGCTATGCTGCAAAGCAATGATGGTCAATGAAGTAGCTTCTCCTTATCTTCTGGAAGCATCACCTTGCTATGAAAACATCATTTACATGGAAACTTCATTCTCCACCTTCTTCTAGCTTACAATGAGTTCAATACAACTCATCGGCATTTTAGTTTAGCTCAAGGTGTAATTGCTTTAAGGGATGCATCTTTATGCTTAAAGATATGACTGACTGCCTATATGACTGACTGCACGCTACTTTTCATTAGGTGCATTGTAACTCAACTTCTACATTTATCTTTCCCCCTTCGGATGAGTTACTCGTGCAAAGTCAGGGAGAAATCAGCTTTGTGCACACACGTGGCACTGTCTGTCTCAAAGTTCTTGACAGGCCTGAGGTCTCTAAGACCCACGGCCACCCTCTTGTTCCTCCTGTCCATCAGAGGGTCCAAGACCTGGCTTCTATACTGAGGTTGCCAATTGTCTTGGAGATGTAAAATAAACACTTTTTCTACATA